AAATCCTGAAAAGGGGCTGATCATTGATGTTGGGATAACCCAGACTGGATCAGGACTGGTGCAGGGAGGGCTGGATCCAGTGCTGGGGAGGGGGGTAGCTGCTGCGACATAGGAAGGGATCTGCATCTCCCAGAAAAAGCCCTTATCTTCACGTCCTTGTCCTCCAGCTCAGCTGGAGATGTGACCCACCCTCCCAGCATGGGGACAGCACGGGGGTGGCATTTGCCTGGTGCCAGTCTGAGGAATCTGGTGTGTGGTGGTGGGGCCCTAATCCCACCCCGACTGTGGGAGTGAGGAGTCTGTGGGCTTCTGCTCCCTTGGTATTGTCCTAGCGCTGCTTCTCTTTCCTGACCTCTGTGTCCCTCTGCCTCCTCTGTGGTGACACCCCAGTCAGTTAAAGCACCTGGGCACCAGGTAACCAGGACCTGTGGGTGGTGTGAGAGCAACCTGACAGATGCTTTGCTCTTCAGAAATGTTGTCTGGTACCAGTGAATGGTATGTTACAGCTCTGAGCTGACACACCAAACCATGCACAGAATCAACACGTCTTTGGGCACATCCTTTGCTATCCCAAATCATCTCTGCTGTGCACAAGGCTTGTTGCAGGATGGTGGCCGTGGCAGGGCTTACAAGGCTTGGAGCTGTTGGAGGCCAGAGCGAGGTTGGTTTGGGGAACGGTGCCCTAAGGAAACCCTTGAGGAGCACAGCTCCCTTGGTTAATGTAGCTCTGTGGTTAATGTTTCTGGAGATTCTGTGCTGCCTCTAGAAATGGCTTCAGAAGTTCAGGGCTCTTCCCTAAGCTGGTTGGAATGGCTCCCCCAGGTACCCATGTCCTCCTGGCCCCTGCTCCAGTGTTTTCAGCCCACCGTGCTTGTTTTCTTCATAGACCAGACAGTGTGAGCTGTCTTCACAAGTCTTTGTCACAGTGGGGGAAGGTCTCCCTGCTCCAGAAGCCCACGATGCTGAGTTCCTGGCGTAGCCTGGTGGGCCACGTTCAGCTCTCGGTTGTGCACCTGCATGTTCCTTGGGTCTACAAGGAGCTTAATTTGCATCCAAGCCACTGCTGCCCCAGGGAGGATTTAGCTCGGTCATGTAGGAGTTTCACCACTGAGAAATGTTTAATTTAAAAAGCAATTTCCTTTCACCTAACAAGAAATATTCCTTCTGGAGTGTGAATTCCCTCAGAATGCTGTCCAGGGCTGAGCACTAATGAATTCCTCTTCTCTTTCTTTCTCCCTGCGTCTCCTGGAATCTCTAGCATCTCGTAAGTATAATCTTCTTTTTTTTTTAATTTCCTTGTCTGTTGGTGTCCTGGATGAACTCTCCTCTCCTCTCCTGTCCATCATATTCACTCGTGCTTTCCCTATGCTAGGGCTGTTTGTCAGCTGGCAAGAGGTTAGATGGCTACACCTGGTAGGCCTACGTGGATCCCACCACAACCATCCTCATCTTGGAAATGGAGACGGCAGTTGCTAGCATGCTTTTGTCCCTCCTGATCCTGGTGTACAGAGGTTTTGTGTCTGCAGTCTCCTAGGTCCATTCCTCCGTAGCAGGGACGATGGCTGCTCACCCCCATTCTTTGGGCCGTGCTCTGGCCACTCTTATGTTTGCTTTAGGAACAACTGCTTGTCCAGCCTCCTACCCTAGCGAGTGAGGACCTTTGGTTTGGTGAGTCTCTTGCCTGGCCCCTGACCCGCATGCAGCCTCCAAGGGCTGGTCCTCGGTCAGCCTGGTCTCTCTCTGTTGTCTGGTGAGAGCTTTCCTGTCTGTGTTTCGTGTCCAGTTCAAAGCTGTGTAGTTGGTTAATGGCTTAAAATGGTTTCCCAGGGCGTTCAGGGGCTACGCAGAGAGGAAGAGACGGAAACGAGAGAATGATTCTGCAGCTGTTATACAGAGGTAGGGCCCCTTTTCTCCCGTAGCCCTAACCTTGCCTGGTGTTGCATGGGCCCTTCGGGTGTCCTTGGTGACCCTTGATGACGTGGAACGTGGTTGTCCCTGTCTGTGTTGCTGTGCGTAGGGACACTGGCAGCGGCTGTGGTGGAAGTGTGGAGGTGAATGATGCTGCAGTGCTGAAGATAGCTGATCTCCATCTTCTTAAAGGAACACTGTCAAGTTTCTTTAAAGCTTCCAAATATAATATACAGGATCTGCGTCTCAGGCAGAAAAATATGCGATATATGTATAAAAAAATAAAATATGCAGTTTCCCTCTCCCAAATATTTGGAATTTGTTTGAGGTTAGCTGAATTCTAACCCGTGACTTTCATGTGCTGTTGCTGCATCTACAAATGTGCCTCAAAAATCTAAGACCTAGGCAGAATTAACATCTCTAGTAACCAGAAGTCTTTTTAAAATTATTATTATGAAACAGAAAGGAAAGAAGAGGGGATGGGGACTGATTTCTTCTCCAGAAGGGCCCTGGTTTCCCCTCTTCTGGCTCCACAAGGCACATCAACTGTGGTGATCAGAGCTGGTCTGGTTCTTTAAATGTACCAACGCTTGTGCATTTTGGCAGCCTACGAAGAAGGATAACACGGCATTTGTGTCCCTGGTTTAAAAACTGTCAGGATCGCTTCAGCGCTGTTCAAAATGCAGTGGGAGAAGAACATCAGGTTTTCTTCGCTGGGAAATTGCCAGGGAGACTTTTTTTTTTTCCAGCATCTTAAGGGTGGTGGGTTTTTGTCACCAATAATGAAGAGAAATAAGAATCAAAACTACGGATGCTGCAAATAAATAGACAGTGTTTCTTTAAAAAGAAGGAGATTTCTCTGAATTTTGTAGGCAGAGGCAAGTCGCTGTTAGAAAACTCCTTGTTCACATGGCTGACAAAACCAGGAGCAGGAGTTGTGAACCTCGGTGATGCTGTGTGGTCAGGGTGGAGGACGGAGTCGTGTCACCCTTGTGTTGAGCAGCCGGCCTGTGCCCTCGCCTGCTGTGGATGCTGAAGGTGTGGGCAGGATTGTGCAGCGGGAGCCCACCTGCATTTATCTTGTGATAAAGAGGAGACAGAATAGCAGCGATGGGCTTCTGCCGCTGAGGGGTTTTGTGCCATGCAAGCAGAGCCTGGCCAGCTGTGAGGATTGCTGGCGGTTCGGGTTTGGGAGGGAGGAGGACCCCAGCCCCACCGCAGTTTCACATCCCTGCTGGGCAGCCCTTCGTGGCCTCAGGTGTTTTGGAAACTCAGTTGTTGTTGCACAGCCCCTTCAGTGCCTGGCCCTGTGTGTCTGGGGCACAGGGAGGTTGCTTTGCGTGGCGTGGTGTGCGTGGTGCTGCAATGGATGTTGCCTCAAGAGTGAGCGATGCTCAGGGGTTCACTGAACCTTGTGAGGAGGAGGGCATGAGAGGTTGCTGGGAGTTTTGCAGAGCATTGGTACAGCTCAGTAACTGTGTCGCTGACCTCTGTTCAGGTAATGAAAAGGCTTCTCTGCAGGGTGTGAATGAAACGCTGCAGTCAGAGCTGTGGAGTGGGGCTGCTGCGTTTTGGAGACCACCGGGTACCATGGAGGTGGCATCGGGTTGTGTGTGGTGAGCTGGAGCCTGTCAGGAGGAGGATGTTCAGGAAAGGGAGTAATAAGGAGATTTTACGGCTGTAACTTGAGGGGTGCTTGTTGGATTTTGATGGGTGAGGAGACCTTGCTAGTGATCAGATAACACTGAGTTTTCCGGGTGCAATTGCAGGAGCCAGGCGGGAAGACTGGCCAGGTTTGTGTAGCCCCCCTGCTCACAGAGCAGAGCCGTACAAGTCCTTTGTGCTAACGTGCAAGCATGGAGAGGCCTGAGGACCAGTGCAGCTGCAAAAAGCCCTCGGAAGGGCCTAGATGGCCACAGGATGCCCACATTAAGAGGAAGTCCCAAGCTTGCACCTCCTTTCCAAAATGCTTTTTTTCTAGAAGAGCTGAGGGGGGGAAAGGCCTTTATCCCATTCAGCGAGCATTTAGTGCGATGGTTAACCTGGAGCAGCTGGAGTGTCCCTGGAGCTGCTCTCAGCCGTATTTAGGAGATGTGTACAGACAGCTGCCCTCGGCCCGCGCTCGTGGGACAGACCACGCCGTGCAGGCAGCTGGGAGCAGCGCTCCTCTGCAGCAAAGACTGCTCTACCCCCTTCCTCTGGGGTCTGAAGAGGCTCCTCTGTGGAGAGGACAACTGAGCATCTAACAGAAAAAGAGATTTTACCCCAAAATGCCAAAAGTCCAAAGGATGTAACTAACAGTGGCCTTGGCAGCTAACGGCGCTCAGTGTCTGGTGTGATCTCGGTCTCACAGTGCACCGTAAAGATTTTCATTCTGCTGAGTTACAGTGTATGTCTGAGACCTTTCTGTGTAAAGAACAACCCTGGTTCCCTTAAAATATTCTATTTGTTTGGATTTGAACGGAATGCACGGTAAGACAGCCCCCGTGGTCAGTCATCAGTCACCCCAGAAGGTTCTGTACGTGGAGCCAGCCCAGCCTGTGTTAGCGGAGGGAATTGTTTTAGGTTCTTGTCTAAAGGGGGCAGTTGTCTGGTCCACAGCAGCGACTCTTCACATCCCTAAGTAGAGCTAAAATAACTCCTTGGAAAATCACATTAATAGCCCAAGTGCAGATGGAAACTTGTCATGGAAGAATGTGGCTCCCAGCTTCACTGCCCAGCTGCTCGTTTTCCTTCTTGAGCTGCTGAATTTGGATCCTGATGACAACATGGGATCCACGGCTAAAGTGGAGGACAGTGCAGAGGATGGTATGGGTTTAGTGTTCGCCCACCAGGGCTGTGTTTGTGTTGATCTCTCTGTATGGGAGCAGACCTGTCTGACTTTCTCTGAACAACTTCATGTCGGTGCTGGAAGTGTCTTCTAGTCCAGTCGGTTTGCTAAAGCATCTGCATGGTTGTAACATGTCCTTACTCATCCCACTAACTTGTGTGTGAGCCAGACGACTTGTCATTTTACCCGTTTCACCAGCAGCGGTCTCTGTTTCTGGATGTCTGTGGTGTACGTTGGTGGGGCAAAAACAAATCTAGGCAGGCTCCTCACTCCACACAGGCTGCTGGTACATGGGCTCATCAACATCCCTGGGGCCATGGGGGCTGCACTGCAGGGGGAGGTTACCCTGACCAAGTGCCCTTCACAGAGAGGTGACACTTCTCTGACAGTCCCCATGCTGCATCTTCCCTGTGTCTCCTCTGGTGTCCTGTTTGGTTCCTGTCCTGTTTGGTTCCTGCCTAGGTGAGTGATGAGAAACTAAGGGAAACGGGTTCCTTGCACTTGGTGGGGCTGGACAAAGAGTCCCTTTGCCATGGTCTCTCAGGAGTGGCCAGGACGGGCTGTTTTACACAGACCTGACTATGGGGTGTAGCTTATGCCCAGGTGGACTTTCCTTGGGAACTGTGCACTCTGCAGCCCCACTGAACTCTGCCTGTAAGCCCTGGGCAGGGAAGCACGTGGTGGGGCAGGCAGCTTCACAGAATCATGCAGAATCACAGAATGTCAGGAGTTGGAAGAGACCTCGGAAGCTCCCCCAGTGCAACCCCTGCCAGAACAGGATCACCAGAGCAGTCACACAGGAACACGGCCAGGGCTTTGGGTGTCTAAATGTTAGCAGGGAGCAGGCCTGTCAGGACAGGCAGCCTTGCTGAACGCTGCTGTCTGAGGAGTAAGAGGCTGCTTCAGTCCTGCCCAGCTCTTTGCCCTGCAGAGCAGGATGGGCTGCATGGTTGCTAACAGCACGGATGGGATTTTAGCAGTGGCTGGGAATGCGTTTGGCAATGAGCACAGCCATGAGCATGGTGTGTGCATGCTGCCAGCCAGGGCAGAGCCTGGGCACCCCACTTCCCTGCTGAAGCATGTGTGGGAGAAAGGAGAGGGGGCAGTTACTGCTCTTTACCAGGAGGAGAGGGAGCACTGCCAGCATGGGCAGTGGCAGCGTCTTCAGCAAAGTTACCACTCAGTTGCCTTAAGTGTAGGAAAGGGAAAACCTTGAGAAGGGGACTGCCACGTAGGACTCTGCTTGCCCCATACCAGCAGCCCAAGGGGTTCAGAAGAAACAGCCACACTCTTTGACAAGCATCACCATCCCCTGCGCTGAATCGGTGCAGGCTGGGAACCTGGTTTCCAGCTTTTGAATGCCCAGAAGGAAATACGCTGTCTTCCCAATTTTATTTTTCTTTTCCTCCCATTTTTTTCAGTCATGCTGGAGGAGTCCTCCCTCCTTGCTTCATGTTACCTTTCTCAGAGGTTTTCTTTGGCCTTTCTTTCAGGAATTTTCGGAAGCACCTCCGCATGGTGGGGAGCCGAAGGGTTAAAGCACAAAGTAAGTGAGCACCTGTAAGATGTGGCTGTGAGGAGTTGGGGTTTGTGCTGGTGGGAGGCAAGGAACCCTATGTTGTGTGCAGATGTGGGTAGAAAGGACCAAGCATTGGGCCAGAGAAAGGATTTGACTTGCTGATGCCATTTTACCCTGCAAAAAAAGACGACCACGTTGTTGCAAGTCTCCAGGACACATGGATGTCTGCAAGCCACCTGTGAGCTATTTCTGAGGACGCTCTGCTTCGGCTGTGGGAGTTCTCTGTGGCCTCTGTGAGAAGTGGATGGAGAGCTGCAGCATCCTTGTCCCACATGCATGTGGTTTTTGGTGATCACCGGCATAGATGCTTGTGAGGAGAACCAGAGCTGAGAGTTCAGCAGAGCAGGCGAGGGCTGTCTGGCCTCTTACTGAACCTGTGGACCAGAAATCACCTCTTAGACCTGGGAAACTGCAGTTCCCTTTCCCTGAGGAAGGCAACACTCCTCCTTAACTTGGTTGGGGCAGCTCCCTTGTCGCTGTGAAATGGGCTGAGAATGCTGTCACCGGCTCCCGAGAGCTGAGGATTGCTCCAGAAGAGGAAACAGCTTGTTCTTCCCACCCCATGGCCAGGCATCGTGTACAGACTGCCCACAGCAAAGCGTTGCTGAGCTGAATTTGCATTCTTTCCTCTCCTTTCTCGTATGCTGTGGGAAGCGAACAAACAGCATTGCCCTTTAAAGTGTCTTTATTGGCATCTGAGTTAGCACAGCCTGAAATGAACAGGGCTCACCTCCCCCTGGAGCTGTCTGGAAGTTCAGGCATGCCTCTCTGCCTTGGTAACTCTCGGGTCATGTTTTCAAAGCTTTCTTTGTGTTTTCAAAGCTTCCTTCACGTGCACAATAGCTAAATGCCTGGTTTTAAAAGAAAGCTGAGGATGGAGATCACCTGAAGATGTGATTTGTCTCCCTGGACACCCACACTTGGACTCACAGCAGCAGAGGACAGGTTGCTTCTCAGCTCTTGTATTGCGGATCTGCAGTGAATTCCTGTGCTGCTGACATGAGATGCCACTACTAGATACACTGCAGCAAATTTGCTCTGTCTGCTACCAGAAATAGGTATTAGTGGCTATAAGTGGCTGTTAATCTACGCGTAATGGCTCTCATGTGAGCTTGCCAAGTCAGACATGGTGGCTGGCAGTTCCCAGGAATTTGCCTGTGGTGCAGCCAGCTGGGCCAAGCTCCCTGGGTTCTGCTTGGGAAATGGTGGTACAAACGTTATAGTGCCTACTGGGAGATGAAAAGCAAAAAAGCTGGGGGAGTGCTCACAAGAGTGCAGGCAAGAAAAACTGGAAGATTTCCTCTTCTGCAACAAAATTGAGAAAGCATGAGCTTTCCAGAGGCCCCCCCCCTCTGTTTGGTCCAGCTCTGATTGGGATGTCACTGGAACACGAAGGGAGAACTTGACTGGAGAGCTGCTGCCTTCTTCTGGCCACGTATGTGTCATTAGCTGTTGAGTACATCTTCCTATGAGGCCTTTGAGTCAGAGCATTTACACTGAGATGCTGGATTAGCCTTGATTAAATTGAAGTTTGAGCAGCGTGCATTTAAGGAGAGACCATCAAGTGTCCTCCTTTTTCTGTGTTACAAACCCCTGCTCAGAGAGCAGGCACTTTGTCTTCTGCTGTCTAGAGAAGATAGATCCTTGTTTGCTGTCTGGAAAGGACTCACGTTTGGCAAGTGGAAGAACAAGCACAGGAGAGTCCGTGATGTGTAGCTCTGGTGCAAATCTACTGGTTGTTTTGTTTTGCTGGCAGCAGCAGAGGTGGCTTTGGAGTCTGTTAATGTCGTGCTTTGGTTTTATCCTAGCATTTGCCGAACGGCGTGAGAGGAGCTTCAGCAGGTCCTGGAGTGACCCGACTCCCATCAAAGCTGATTCCTTCCATGACTCTCGAGAAAGTGAGTTCTGAGTCCTTTGAGCTTCCTCCTGTGGCCAAACCCTCCAGCTGAGGTGTTGCCTGGAGTCCCACTGGAGTAAACCCTCTGTGCCCTTTGTCCTCTCTGTGATCCTTTTAGTTTCATGAGATCTGAGCAAATAACACTCCAGGTATATGCTCCCGTCCATCTGTGTGTACCTATATTTATTTGTAGAGCGCAACGCGTCTCACCTCATGTTACCGTGCACTTTCCAAAGGACACCCAGTGGTGCAGCTCTCTTACAACCCTCTGTTCCCATCTTCCCTTACTCACTTGGGACCAAACAACCTACCTGGAAGCACACCAGTCCAAGGCTACATTCACCATAGTGGGGCGAACCTGCCTAGCTTCCCGTGCAAGAGCCCATTCTGAGCTCTTTCCTAGGCTAGAATAGCTCAGGAGCACACCTGCAGCGCTCCATGAGACGTAGCTTTGATTTCCTGGCCACGCTGGCTGCGCAGATGATAGCTTGGGGCAATCTGAGCTCGGTTTTGGCTGCCAGGAATTCCTCCGGGAATCCCCAGTAATGCTGTGACGCTCTGCTCGTGGGGACTGAGATGCTGTTGTGTTAATTGACAGGAGGAAATGCCAGCATCTTCCCACTGTCTTTTTATAAAGGGAACGGCTGTTTTACCCAGATTTTATTGAAATCCTGTAGGCAAGGGACTTGGTGGATATGAGTTTGCCCATGAAATGGGCAATGACTTTGACTAATGAAATCATCTGACCTCTCAGGTAAGCACGAGATCCAGCCCTCCTAGCCGTAGAAGACACCGTGCCAGGTTGTAGAGGGAGATGTGTGAAGGGCCAGGTTCAAACATGACCCGATTGTTCCTTTGCAGTCTGATTCCTCCCCACTCCCTCAGCTAACTCGGAGGCGAATGGAAAAGACCTGGTTCAGGCAGGCTCCAGGCACTACCCAGTGACACTCGGACATCCCAAAAGGCACAAATAGAGGCATCTCGGTTCTCTTTCCTCAGTCCCTGGCTTCAGGGAACCATCTGTTTTTAACCTTTAATGGTCAATTATATTCCTTCCAGATGTTTTTTTCCCCAGGAGGCATTCAAGGCCAACAGGTAAGGTCAATTCAATGGAGAGCAAATTCAAGTATACTGTTGCAATACTCCTGTGTTTGCTACAACTGTTCTGACGGTCTGGGACTTCTCTGCCAGGATCAGTCTGACCAACAAAGCAGAGTTTCTTTATAACCACTCAGAAGACATAGTCAGACGAGTAATTATTACGAGGAGACCAGCTTTGAAGTCTTTGGACTTGCTCATCAGCTTGGCAATGTTGAAGTGTGGAGAGTCTGTCTGCGTTCTGTCTCCTTCTCCATTTCTGAACTGACGGGGTGACTGTTGTGAATTAGCAGTTGAAAGCTAAACTTGGTGACTGTGAGAGTGATGAATCGTTATGTGATATGTGGTATCGGGCTCTGTGCGTGCACTCTTCATTCGTTAAGTGTTTGTCTGTTTAGAGATGCCAGCCCCAAAGTGTGGTGTCTGTCGCTGTGTGGAGGAAAGGAGGGCACAAGTCTCATGGCTTGTGGCACATCTTGCGAGGTAGCTGCCAGACAGGATGCAGTGGGGAAGGCGAGCTGTTCTGCCCTTGTAATGCACACTGTGTTCTGGCAGGCCATGACCTTCAGGATTCCTGCGGCACTTTGGATGGTGACTTTGACTTGAACTGGGAAGCAGAAAAGGAACTTGAAGCCATGGCATGTGATGGAGAAGACTTTATTCCACCAAAAATAATGGTGAGTTTCCAACTCAGCTTCTTGTATCTACTCAGGCTCTATATGTCCTTTCAGTGTTGCTAAGTTTAGGATCCTCATGGGAAGAGGCAAGTCTTTTGGACAGGCAGCTCTTCAGGTGTGCATGAGTCACTCAGAGATCAGCCAAGGCATGACATGGTATTATTCAGCATCTGTTATCACTAGGGATAATATGTTGAAAGAAAACTAGAAGTGGAGAGACCTGTGGTCCAACCCTAAATCAGAGCGGGGCTGTCACCAACACTGAATCGAGTTAGGCTGAGTCTGACCCCGACCACAGAGACCTGAGTCCCCAGTCCCAACAGCCCCTCTGTCCTGTTGTTACTTGCCTGATTTGCTTTGGAGCTGTGTGTCATCCCTTGAGATGCTTTCTGCTCTTTTATCATTCCCTGGTGCTGCATTCCCCCCTGCTCTGCTCTGTGGGGTTTGGCAGACAGGACCAAGTTCTGACACATCCCTCCTTTGGCCACATGCACAAGCACTCAGCCAAAATGGGATCTTGAGATTCCAGCTTCTCAGGGCAGCATTGCCAGTCCAGCACAGCAGAACAGTGTTTGAATGGGTCCTGCTAAGTCTTGGAAAGAGCAAAGGACATGGAAACAGTCTGCTTTATTTGTGTTCCCAGGCTGTCTGTGCAGTCCCAGCCCTGAAGCACTCTCAGGGCAAAGTGACCAGGTGAGATCCAAACACTGGGAACCCAACCCTTGGGTTTGCTCAGCCCTTGTCAACTCCAGGGTGTCTCTGCAGGCGGTAGATGTGAGGAGTGTCCATCCCTGGACTCTGTGCCTCTTCAGAAACTTTACATTATAGAATGGTTTTGGTTCGGAAAGACCTTTTAAGATCAGAGTCCAACCATCAAACCAGCCCTAAGACTGCCACTAGACCATGTCCCTAAGCACGATGTCTACACATCTTTTAAACACCTCCAGGGATGGGGACTCAACCCCCTCTCTGAGCAGCCTGTTCCAGTGTTTGACAACCCTTACAGTAAAGAATAGTCAAGAAATTCTTCCTAAAACACTGACTCCCTTGTGGCCGGAGCAGTGATGTGCTGCCTGCCAGCAGGGAGGGCTTTGAAGCTCCATTCCAAGCTGGCACCCAGGCTGCACGTACAAGCCCACCAGCACCGCTCCCTGCTTCACTCTCACAGTGATGAGCCGAGGTGCCTGAAATCACAGCACAGCCAAATTGCCGGTGTTCCCATAGCCCTTTGGCTTGTGCTGATGGCAGACCCATCCTCTCGGGCTCTGGTGCAGCTGAAGCTTCAGCCAGAGTTGCCAGGCAGCCTGCATCTGCCTGCCATCCCACGGCTGTGCCTACCTGTGCCCGCTGCCCTTTCAGCCCGTGGCTGGTTCCTGTTCAGGCGTGCAGCTGTCCCACCACCAGCCAGCTACGTGTGCTGGTTTGAGCAATCCCCTACAGCCAGGAGCACAGACCCTCGCACAGAGGAAGGGCATATGGAAGTGATCTTTACTGGGATACAGCCATTCTTGGTGACGCACAAGCTTCTCCATCCTCTGTGCACACCAGTCTGCCCTTTACAAACTGCTATCTCAGACTGTCCTGCTTTTTAGGCAGAGCTGTGTGCTCGTTTACTGGGGATCAAGGGGACTGTGACACAGGGGGGGACTTGGCAGGCCTGGAGGTGCTCTGTAGTGGGCCCAAGGCTTGGAGGACCTTACACAGGGGTGCAGGTAGGCTGGTTTAGCTCCTAGTTTTGGTAACACCTGAGAGCAGCCGAACAGGGCACTGTTATCATGGCCTTTGTGCTTCTGTGCAGACTCTGCTGGCTTCTTCTCATGCTGTTGTGCTTCTTTTCTCCCTTTCCAGCTCATTTCTTCCAAGGTGCCCAAAGCAGAGTACGTCCCGACAATTATCCGCAGGGACGATCCCTCTATCATCCCCATTCTCTATGTAAGTAAATCACTTCTGCTGTGTCTGGATGGGTGGGGGCAGGCTTCATACAGAGAATTTGACTTTTTTTGTTGTACCCATCCCTAGTTCCTGTTTTGGTGATTCTGAAACACTGCTGTGATTTTTGAAAAGCTGTCAGGAAAGTGCTGAACCCAGATTGGGGGGCTGGGGTAGCTTTGTAGGGCCTCGGGTCTAGGTGGAAGAGTAAGGTGGAGTGAAAATTGCCCATGTGGGCTGCAGGCACAGCCAGGCAGCATGGGAAGATGAACAGGGCAGGGCAGGCCTGGGCACACGAGCAGAGCTGTGTTTTGCCAGGCTTAGGGCTCCTCCTTGTGCTCATCCTCAGGATGAAGAGAATGTCAGAGCTCTGCAGTGGACCATGAACCCCATCAGCCCATGTACAGTGGTGCATCCCTGTCAGCCATGAATTTAACCTTGATTTTTCACTAGGAGCGGTGTCTGAAACACCAGCAACAACTCGTGGGTCTCTCTTTTAGCTCATTACTTTATGTTCACTTAATTTGAAGGGGAAGGGTGGGACTGACAGGCCAGAAAGCTCAGTGTCCACGTGCTGCAGGCAGCGCTGCTGGGGGCTGAGCTCTGCTGCCTCTTTCTTCCTTTGAGAGTTGTATGGTTGATTGTGTAATCGGGATCCTAGAGCATCCATTGGCCTGGGAATGGAACTGTGTGCAATATCAGAGACTATAATAATGTCATGGGAGCTGGTGTAGAGTGAACCTTGACATGTCTTCTCTCTTGGTTTCCAGGACCACGAACATGCCACCTTTGATGACATCCTAGGTACGTGAGCGTTGCTTCCTTTTCATAACTCCTGCCCGTTGCAAATTGAACTGATCAATAAGTTAAAGTCACTCCACTGCCTGGTGCCTCAGCTGCTGCTTGTAAAGGTGTTTTTATCACCCTCTGGCACCTGACAGTCAGCTGCTGCTGCTGGATGTGCTGCAGTAATAACACTTCCCTTCTGTGGTCCATTTGCTGTGCCAAGCTCCTCATTTATGAAAGGGAAGCTGAGGCTCAGGGCACTGTACCCTTGTAGGTGATGAGGAGCATTACCAGAGGGGCAGGACAGCTGCTCTGGTACAGCGCTGTGGGCACTATAGGGCAGTGTCTGGTATTATACCCCACCTTCCTTGCCCTGTGAGAAACCCAGCTGGGATTTCCTGCTTTCCACAGCATGAAATCAAAGGGTTTGCTTTGACATCAGTGGGAATGTAGGTGCTGAGCACCTCTCACAGCTCAGCCTCCTGCCTTCAGGACTGAAGTGAGAAGAAATAAGATTAACTTTCAGTTTCTTCCATGGTTCATCTTTTCCAACATGTTTTTTTGCAGAGGAAATAGAGAAGAAGCTTAGCATTTATCGAAAAGGCTGCAAAATCTGGAAGATGCTGATATTTTGCCAGGTACGTGAAAGTTCATAAGCGCCTGGATGGTTTGTTACAAATTTGTCATTTTCTACAGGGAAAATTTCGTAGCGGAACCAAAATCCCAAAGTCAGGTTGTGTTAAAGTGACTGCACATGTACGGCTTTCACTTCTCATTTCCCCAGGCAGCGAACAGTCTCAAGTTGCTGTGGCAGCAGGAAATAAAATCTGATTTAGTGTGGCCAGCTCCAGAGCTGGGCTGCTTCTCAGCTGCTTTCAAGGAAACCCAGGCAAACCCAGCATTACCACAGACCTCGAAAGGAGGATTTTGGAGAAAGGAATAAGGGTTTACAGTGTGATGGCTATAGTTTTCATGCAGCTTCAGTATGACAGGGACTGTGGTGGGTGTTGTGGATCACACCAGCAGACAGCACAGCTTGGAGCTGGAGGCCAGCGTGCATGAAGGAGGGGTTGGGGTACAGGCTTGCCAGATCTGGGGCTTGCCAGGGATTTCCTTCCCAAGTCTCTTGTTCCTCAGAGTGGTCAGCCTCGGAGATCCCCAGCAGTTGTGCAAGGAACCCTGAAATGAGAAGTCAGGGAGGTAACCTCACTTGAACTCCTTCCCACGTGCCCAGTGCTGCAAAACAGCAGAGTTTGCAGCACGCTGATCTGGAGATTGCAGCTCTTAATCTTCCTGATGTGCTCAGTCTTTTTTATGCCTGCTGCTGCCCAACTCCAGTTCTTCTACAGTGACGTCTTGCCTGCTTATTCCTGCTTCGCTCAGCTTCTCGTCTGCCTTGACGGCAAGTCCCCTGGCATCCCCAAACAAAAGGGACTTTCTTGTCTTCCCTATTACTCTCCGGCCACCCACAATGAAGATTTTTGTCTATTATTGTGCTTTTCTAGAGTGAAGTAGGCATATAACAACAAAAACTGGAGAATCCAAGCACCAACACGCTCCCTGTATGTGAATATTTCCCGAGGAGCTGCAGCAGCTGTGCCAGCCTGGCCTGTCTGCTCTGCTCCCTTGTGGCACTTTTGGGTATGGCCACGCAGGAAAAGGTATCCAGGGTTTGTTTCTTCAGGGCCAGTGCAAAGTGGTTTACATTTGTATGTCTCTCTCTTGCAGGGAGGTCCCGGTCACTTGTACTTGTTAAAGAACAAAGTTGCCACTTTCGCCAAAGTGGAGAAGGAGGAAGATATGATCCTGTGAGTGGCTGCTTTATGTTCTGGACTCCTACAGCGTTCTTCTGCTCGGTTTGCTCAATGTTTGTAGCACATGGGCTAGGAGAGGTGGAGGGAGCTGGGGTGGCTTGGTCAGGGGAAGAGGAGGCTGAGAGGGGACCTAACAGCAGCTTGCAGCTCCTCTGGGGGAGTTGCAGACGTGACAGAGCTGAGCTTGTCCCTAGGGTGGCTCAGCCCTGGGGCCGGTCACCAGAAGAGTTATGCTTTTGTCTGCTGTTTAGTGACTAGGGACTATCAAAAGAGGAAATAACACCCCATAGCTCCTCTCTTAGCAAAAGCTTTGCTGACCAGAAGCCAGAACATGCATCTCATGCCTCTCTTGCTCAAGGAGGGGCTGAGAGCACATTTCTAAGCACGCAGCTGGTGGCAGAAATCCAAACGGTTTCTCCCAGAGCTGCCTCTGGGAACTGCCCTGCTAATTGGAGAGGGAAGTGGAATTTGTCTCTCCAAAGCCTGCTCAAAGTCCAGCACGTTACTGAGGAGGGTTTTTGCTAACATACCAGCCTGTCAGCCGGCATTGCTGAGGCAGCTTCGCTTCTCCTTGCAGAGTTAAGCTTTGCCTGTGTTGCTGCCTGCTCGCTTGTGCTGGCTCAAACTTCCTTGGCTAACAGTGCTTGGCTGTGGGGGAGAGCGTGTGTACCAACCTGTTCCTACGCAACTTTTTGTTGGCATGAGAACTGAGTATTAAAATTAACATCTGCTCAGCGCTCTCACGCTCTGGCACAAACTTTGTCAATAAAATCCTTAGGCACGTGAGTGCGTACACGCTTCTGAACACCCTCCAGGCGTAGCTGCTCCCAGGTTTGGTAATTCAGGGACCTCCGGAAAGCTGTGAACTTGGATGCTTGGAGGTGAATGTCTCCATCCAACCTGTACATGCCTGGGAAGCGGCCTGGAGGAAAACTTACGCTGCGGTCTGATGGCAGACCCCACAGAGGAGCTGCTGGGCTTTGGAGCCCACCAGAAGTCTGCTCTAACCCACTGCCCAGGGGACAGACTAACGTGGAAAGGCCTGGTTTGGTGTTATCTCTCTCGCTGTGCAGAGGAACCACCTCTCCAGCTGTTCTCTGCTAATTTCATGCCCTGGAAATGAACCCGTGCACGGGAAACACTCGTATTTAGAAAGGGCAACTGTTGATGGAAATGGGAGAGAGGAAATGGGAGGGAACTGCTACAAACAGAGGATGCTTAGTAAAAGTGTCAGTCTAAAAGCACTCCAGGTGGACTTTGCTCCCGTCTCTTCACCTTGGAGCTTCCTGGGCTTGATGGGCTGCTGCTCCTCTAGTGTGTGACCTGGGTCCTTGGGCCTTTGCTCTGCCTCTGCTCGTCCTTGTCTGAGAACCAGTGGCTCTTCCTGAGCACTTGCTCCTCAGGCCCTTTCTGAGTGTGCACACACATCCTGATGATTACTTATGCACGTTAGGTTGTTTTTAAACTATGTATTCTGTTTCTTCCAGCTTCTGGAAGAGGCTGAGCCGGCTGATGAGTAAAGTCAATCCTGAACCAAATATCATTCACATCATGGGCTGCTATGTTCTTGGAAACCCCAATGGGGAGAAGGTAAGGACTTCCTGGGTCACCTCTCTGGGAATGTCAGCTGAGTACCACCGAGCCCAGAGAGGCAGCAGCCACACTGGAGTCTAAACCCTCCTCTTGAGCTGTGTGGAAACACAGCCATCCTGTCCCATGAGTGGCCATCAGTGGGTGAAACACCCTATGGATTGTGCCTTCCCCAGAGGGCAGGGGAGGACTGATAAGACGAACAGGATAAACACTGAAGTCTTTGAGGAGAATACTCATTCAGAGCACTTTATTTATTTACTAATGAGCTAGAGCTTTAAAGGACTTGTAGTGAAAGCTTTTCTAGAGGTAGGGAACAAGGATGCGCAATTCTGGGTGCCCTGGAGTTCATCTTTGTTTTCAGCTGCTAACTGTCAATATGTTTTCCTTTCAGCTATTTCAGAATCTGAAAAACTTAATGAATCCTTATAGGGTTGCCTTTGAGTCTCCACTTGAACTATCAGCTCAAGGTAATCTATTTTCTGTCCAAAGATGCACACCTTCCTAAGTGGCTTGCCTCCTTCAGTGAGCATCTTCCTGAAAAAGCTATTTTGAGCTCCCTTAAGTCCTGCCATGGTCTTCATTTTGCTTGTAACCACCTTGTGTAGTTCAGTTGCTGAACCTGGTTTTCTCCTTGCAATTCCTCCGTGCTCACATTTCATCTGTGCTGTTTGTTGTGCCTGAAGCTGCAGAGACCCCTCCAAGGCAATAGCAAAGTAGCCTAAATAACAGGCTGCTTTCCAGGCTGAGTTTAGGAGATTCACCATATTACCAGGGCACATGAAGTCTGTGGGAGAAATGCACATGGGAGCAGAACCTTTTCTGTAATGAAGTGTGCAGGGGTCTTTTCTCCAGCACCCAAACCATTGGTACCAAGTGAGCTGTGTCATCAGCAGACGATTGGGATGCAGCCCATTACAGCCATTCTGCATCTCAGCTTTGCCTTTTTCTTTTGTTTTTCTTATTTTTTGCCTGTAGCTCAAGGTATTTTAAGGGGTTACAGGTTTTTTTTCCCTGTTCTTTGGTCAACATAAGTAATTACGGGTGCAGTTTCATAAGTGACGTAGGGTCGACTTATTCTGAGGTTGCCCTTGTTATTTTATCTTTGCTGTAGTCCTTGGTGCTTTGTTCTCTTGGAAGATAAAAACGTGCAGCATTAGGCTGTGAGCGCTGTGGACGCTTCCTCTGCTGCTCACAGCTGGCAGCAGCACTGGTTATCGCTGCTTGTTCTGAACTCCCACTCACTGCCATAGGAATGTGTGGGGGTTGAGCACATTTGAGCTGCGCAGAGCTCTCTGTGTGTCCTGCCGAGGTCTGGACCCCTTTTTATACAGTGCTTGCACAGATCCCAGAGCAAACGTGTGTTCATGTGTGCTGAGAAGCGACTTGCAGGGAAACGCCTGGGTTTATGGGCAGCTCAGCGGGCAAGGCAGCGGGTTCTGTGCACAAGCATTTAAGCCCTTGATCTTCCAGGGGGCTGGGCTGAAGAGTACGTCTGGATTTATCCCCTCGATCAATCTGGGACACGCTAATAGTGTAACCTCTCTAATCCTTTGCAAAGTCATCTGAAACTAATCTTAAGCAGGTCTCAAAAGCGACAATCCCGTCCTTGAGCCCTGTCTCAGGATCCAGGGTTGTTTGCCCTTGAGTTTCCACTACCAGTGCTGCCTCCTGTGCGGGGCCTTCAGGCTGTGCCTGCCCTGTGAGACCCCCCCACCTTCAATCAGGTGGCACAGCACTTGTGTCAGTGTGTCCCGTTGAGCTCATTGCTGTGAGGGGAGATGGCTCTGCAGGATGGAGGCAGCCTGTTAACAATGTTAATTTTAAGAAAAATGAAATTGAATTTTCAATGTTAATTATTTTTAATTGTTCTCACAAATCTTTACAATGAGATTTGTGATTTTCTGAAGGCCCTGTGCCAGGTCGGCTCATGGAGCTGCTGTCCAATGCTCCACAGCCCCCGGGCCCCCCTTCTGCAGTCAGTGCAGAGAGGTCAAAGTCTGCAGACAGACTTTGTGCTCAGTTCCCGCCCCACGGACAAACCCTGCCAGGGGATTACTGAGGAGCCTTTCATGGTCTGAGGAAACCAAAAAAAGACGTTTGCTTCTCATGGGCACCTTGAAAGAGTCCAGCAGAGCCACAAAGATGCTGGAGGGAGTGGAGCATCTCCTGCTGAGGAGCAGCTGAGGGAGCTGGGGCTCTTGAGCTTGGAGCAGAGGAGACTGAGGGGTGCCCTCATTCCTGGGGATCCATTGGGAAAGGGCAGTGTCAGGAGGAAGGAGCCAGGCTCTGCTCTGGGATGGCCAATGCCAGGACAAGGGGCAATGGTCCCAAGCTGGAGCACAGGAGGTTCAAGCTGAAGATGAGGACAAACTTTGTCAGTGTGAGGGTTATGGAGCATGGCCCAGGCTGCCCAGAGAGGTTGTGGAGTCTCCTTGTGTGGAGACACCCAAAGCCCTGGCCGTGTTCCTGTGTGACTGCTCTGGTGATCCTGCTCTGGCAGGGGTTGCACTGGGGGAGCTTTCCAGGTCCCTTCCAACTCCTGACATTCTGGGATTCTGGGATTCATGTGCCCTGGGTAGGTGCTAAATGTCAGTGTTCTCCAGATGAGGCATACGGATGGGTTCTCCTGTGCCCCTGCCCATAGTTGGGGTCTTCTTGCTGCTGCGGCCTCTCCCCTGTAACCCCTCTGCTTTGTTTTGCTTCTCCTAGGTAAGCAAATGATTGAGACTTACTTTGACTTCCGCCTTTACCGCCTCTGGAAGACCCGCCAGCACTCTAAGCTATTGGATTACGATGACATTTTATGAGCTGCAGAAGACTTTGCGAGAGGAAGTTGATCACCGGTGTCCAAGAAGTCGTGCTTTTTGCAGAGAGACTTTTTTATTGGCACGGGGAGCCCTTCAAAGCCCTACAGGAGGCAGCAGTGCTAAAGGGAGGGGAGAAGGAGCCCTCGGAAGTGTGTCCAGAGGAGCCTCCTGGGTCAAGAGAGACTGGAGGGAACGGGTTTGACACCTCGCTCGCCTCAGGTCAGAGCCGTGGTGTCTCAGGAGGAGCTGTGCGAAACGAGGACAGGATGGAGTTCCTTGCAGAACTGAGCTGATTTGGGTCAGAATGGGCCAGATTTGATTCCAGGTCCTTTTAAAGACTTTTAAAGCTCAGGTTTTCTTACAAAAAAAAAAAACAAAAAACAAACCAATTACCCATGCACTACGAGGAAGAAGTGAGCAGAGCACAGGGGACGGAGGGGTTTGTACTGATGGGACCTTCTGTGCTGGGGATGCTGGAGAGCAAGGACTGCTACACCTACTCCTGCAAGCTTAGATCAAGGCGATCCAGTTTCGATGTGAATATATCCTGGAACATAGAATTGAAATCTAACTTCTCTTTTTTTTGGTTTTGTTTAATAGAAAATAAGTGCAATTTTTATAGCGACGGGGGGGGGGGAAAAAAAAAACCCTCCCGATATTTAATTAGTGAAAAATAACACACCAGTAACCAATAGATGAGGTATTTTTGGTCTGCTTGAAAATATATTCAAAATGGTAATATATCTTCTGTAGACGTATTTAATCACCAGCAAACATGGTTTTAACGTAACTTGGCAGACCCTGCATGTCTGCTGCATTGATTAATCCGGTTTGGTTCGTTACTTTCAGAGTAGCTGTGTTGCACTAGTTGTGTGTGCTCTCACGAATGTATATTTCTCCTCCAACTAGACACAACTTTGTTACTTTCTATTTTGCTGCTTGCAAAACTACGGGACTTTAGTTTTGCTGAAATACTTTAGGTTAGAAATACAAAACCTGGCTGAGAAACCTCTGTCGGGTTCGCTACGGTATAAAAAATGAAGTAGAAATTAATAGCCATGGTAATTACTTGTTGATGCCGGTGTTTTGCTCTGTGTCGAGAGACGAGTTCTCGTCCTAGCCTGCTGCGCGGAGCAGTGCGGTTACACGAAAAACCCGAGGCATTTGGAGGAAATGCTTCTGGTTTGTAGCATGAGTTTGAATCTTCCCTAGCTTCACTCGATTGCCAGTTGTCTGTGTGTGAACCACCCATTTTCCACTGCTGAAAAGCCCTGTTAATTGGGCTGAGCTGCTCACACCCCATCCTCTGCGGGATGGAGTAAACCCAGAGCTTTGTCAGAGCAGCTGTGGTTTGAGAACCCACATTTGTACTTAATATTTGAGGATATATTTTGGAATATATTTGCTTTCTGTTTGTTTAGGTCAGGGGTGCGTGCTTTTTGTTTGGGGAAGGGCTTTTTTCATCTTCTACTCTCCTGCTCAGAGGATAAATAGGACTTACAGCCTGCGTGGGTCACTCTGGCAGTGCAGGGGGTGACACCAGTCATTTCTTTTATAAGTAAAATACACTGGGGAAGTCCGAGGGAAGGATTACCCTGGGTTTCTGATTTCCTGCTATCTAAAATTAGTTGATGGTGAAGCAAAGGAAAATAAATGTACAAATTCTCTTTTAAATACTTAGGAAAAGAACTCGTTGTTCTGACCTGTAGAGTACTCCTTCCCCCGCGACATACCCGTGGTCGTAATTTTGGGGAGTGGGCCTCTGGCTGGAACTGCTGAACCCTGTACATTTCTAGCAGTTTTATAGCAAACCTTTTGAAGAAATGATGTACATAGAGTAAGTAAGGAGAGGAATGGGTGGAGAGAGATGGTTTGAAGTCATGGAAAGCATCGCATTGAACCAAACGGGTGTGGGCTGTTGGTCCCGCGCTGGTGCGGAGCTGCTGGGTAGCTGCTGGCCTGGCCCCAAGAGGTTTGGGGGCTGCGTCCCATCGTGGCCGGACTCATCCTCTTGGCTCGGTCGTGTTCTCCTCACTTGTAGTGGAGGGGTTAATAGGCACCGGTCTGTAGCTTTTGGAAGAACATAAACTTTATCCCAGTTATCTCTTACTTAGCAAGGTGGTGTCTTCCAGCTGCGCCTGCGCGAGGTGGGCGCCATAGGTGCGATGAGAGCACAAAGTCGTGTGTGGTTTGGAGAAGGACGTGGCGGTGGCAGGACTGAAATGCTGACACCAAACTCTCTCCTTTGCTGACCCTTTTACCTCCTATGGTTGTGCTCCTAACGGGAGACAGACAAACTGTTCTTCTTTGCTTTTTTCTGAAGTAAAATCCCAATTTGGTGAACTTGGTAGCATGAATGTAGCATTGTGGAACTATTGAAAATCTTATTGAACTCCAAAAGGGCCCATTTATGTATCCACTTCAGTGATTTCTCTGTAAAACTATTGTGTATCTATCCTCATTGACCACTTGTAGAACTAGGGGTGCAACTAGAAAGGTAGATTGTACAGCTGAATAATTTCTCTAGGACGATGTGTGTTTGAATGAACACTGTGGACTGTTTCACTGGTGCAGTTGACTGTGGTATAGTATAATGGCAAACGATGAATGCATTGCTCTCTTTTCCAAAGATCTATATTCCTCATAGTTTGTGATGTTTATGACATGAGCGTATTATTTCCTTTGTAGCGTTCAATTGACTGAAGAGATGAAATACTCTCAAAGCTGTGACTGGAAAGACAATAGAGTTTTGCTGTTTAAAGTCCTTTGTGCGAATAGCGTCATTGAAGTTAACCATTCCCGAAAGAGGAAAACAAATTTCTTCCCCTTTTTAACTGGTCGAATGTTTCAAGTGGCTGCTGGGAAAGGAAGGGATCAGCAGAGGATAGGATGCCAAAAAAACAAGGTAATTATTTAAAGTTAAGAGTTTAAAATAGAGCCCGTAACTTCCTCATTTGGACCAGCCTGTAAAGGGTGACCTCTGGTTGTGCACTCACCACCCATGCACAGTGCAGTCACAGCCAGGATGCCCGGTCCTTGCACCCCGAGCACCCCTGCAGCATCATCTCCAGGGGATGCAGAGGACAGGTCCGGGCAGTGCTTGGGGCACAGCTCACCCACAGGGTGCTCTGCCCGGGGAGCTGTGGGTGCTGAGCATGCAGAGCAACTTGTCCTTTCACTGCTGCCTGCTCCTGGTGGTCTGAGGCCCTGGAACCAGTTCATCCACACACAGTGGTTATTGCTGCCTGTGCTGGCTTGGTGGAGCTCGCCAGGTTTACAGCGAGGTTGAGTTCCCATCCCGGGGAAACAGGGCCACCTGGTTAACCCTGGAGAGAAGCAGGTTAAACTGGGATGGCTAAATGGGGTGCCAGCCCTGGCTGATCACCCCAGCCGCGTGTGGGAGTTTCGGGTGCCCTCGCTGTGAGGCGGTACTGGATGTGACCTCCAGCCCTGGATGTGAACGTCAGCAGAGTCTGCTGTTGTGCTATGGCCTGGGCTGGGAGGGTCACCTCCAGGAGAGGAGAAGGGTGGGCAGCAAGGCCATCAGCTGTCCTGCCCCGCCTGCTGCTCCCCAGCCTGGCTCATGTGCCCCCGACCACATTCCCTGGTGCCTGCAGAGGATATTCACCCAGCTGGAGAGGCTTGAGGCAGGGTCGTCTTGGATGTGGCACTTGCCTTATTCAGGGTTTGGCAGAGAGATTTTTCTCCTTTCCTCTTGTTTGACTGGAAAAGAAAGGGAAGAAGAAAATTCAAGTTACCTGAGGGACGTAGAAATAGGTAGAAAATTGAGATAAGGCTTTTTGCCCCTCTCCTCATGCTGCAGCCACCAGCTTCCCCTTGCAGCTGATCTCAAGCCTCGGATGGGAACGGATGAGTTAGCAAATAATCCCTTCCTGCATTGAAACCCAAACAAACCAAAAACAGAAGAATCCTTGTAGCTCCAGCAAAACATCTGACGCAACTCGTCCTGCCCCGTGCGAGGACTCTGCTGCGTGCGCCTGTGGGACCCCCCTGCTGCTGCCCCCCAGTGCCTCTGGAGCCGCCCGAGCCATGGCCCATGGGGGGGCTCTGCTCTGCCTCTGCGGAGGGGACTCTGGAAATGAATTTGTTCTTCATTTCTCAGCCTGGACTTGCTGCCTGGAGCTCAGCGCAGGTTTCCTGCTGCAGGGACTTGGTCGTCCGTGCTGTGGTAGCATCGCTCTGGCTCCTGGCGCGCAGCCGTTTCACAAAACGTGACTGCCTTGGTGACCTGTGGCTGGGAGTTCCTGTTCCCAAGGCTCTGCTGGCAGAGTGACTGCGAACGCCGCTTCGTCACCTTCAGGCAACATAAGTGGGGTTAGCTGGAAGAATGGAAAATGCTGATTTTGAATAGCCAGCCTGGCAGGATCTGGAAATGGGAGCGTGTCCTTAATCCTGGCCCAGACAGGAGGTTGCACACCAGGCTCGCTCTGCTCTCTTGGTGTAAGAGTAAACACTCAACCCATCAAAACCCAGTTTAAGAGGCACACTTCTACATTATGAATGTGTCGGTCCAGGATAAGGTATGTTACTTTATGATTCAAGAAATCCTTCCAGGGCCCTTGGCAATTGGCAAGCGTGGCCGGAACCGTGCAGCAGAGGATGTGCTGGGTTGTCTCATTCTTCCTCCAGCAATCTGGCCACGCTGCCAATACCAGGACACAGATCTGTAGGCACACGTAAGGCTGAATCGCTCTGGACCCCGGGCTTTGCTGGTGACACAGCAGCCCTTCCTCCCGAGGGATGTCCAGCGGTGGTGTCATTTTCCACGCCATCTGTGACAAGTTGTTTGTGATCCTGTGTTCTGTCCCGCTGATCCCAGAGCATCCGTGGCTTTCTGCATCCGCCATGGGAATGCTTTTGAATTCTCAGTTGCGGAAACACGAGCCAAAGTCCACTGGAAACTGTTACGGTCTGGATACGTCAGCCTGCTAATAATATCATCTACTGGAGCTGAGTGAGTAAACGGGTGGTTTAATGACCACGGACCTGACTGTGATTGTTGTTACTCCCAGGTAATCCTGCTCTGTAATCTGGTGAGATACCAGAGTTTGCTCTCTCTGCTTAAAACGCCACAGTGCAATCTGTTGCTGAGGTTGGGCATGAGCTATAGAAGAGTGATAGGAACCAGGAGCTGCTTTGATTCAGAAAGAAATTCAGGCTAACGTACTGCCAAGCAGTGTGAAAAACCTAAAGACTGGAAGAGATAAACAATTGTGGACATTAAATGTAAAGAATCCATCTGAAGGGAGGCTAAATTGCTCTTTTTTCCCCTCAATGTTTAGTAAAGATCTAATACAACCTAATAAATTTTCACATTATTGTATTGCTTTTAGAGTAACCTTAAAATGGCCACAGGTGAGGATGGATAAGACCCACCTAGGGTTGTCCTGCATTAGGACGGTGAGGAGGCAGCTGTTTTATTAATTGGGCACTCCAGTCTTCCCTAGTTCAGCATCCAAATGAACTGGTGATTCAGGTACAGGGATCTTCACCCTTACATTTGAAATGCTCTAAAAACATTGCAAGTACGGCCAAGCAAGGCCTTTGACTATGGATCCTGCTCCCCCGTGCTGTGCCCCCTGTGCTAAATGAGACGTTATTTTGCTGGGTGTTAAGATGGGGATGACTGAAGAAACCAAGCGGGTTTGGTGTTCCCCATCCCAGGAAGCCAGGTCGTACCCGAATGAGAAGAAGGGGCTGTGGTTTTTCCACTGTGTTTCCTGTTGTTCTGTAACAAGGCTGTTCCTGGAGCCGGGGGTGACTTC